CAGAGGAACAGATCAATCAAGAGGGAAACAAAAAAAATATTGGATCATAAGGACGAGTTGCGGTGTCCAGAGACCTAAACCTAGGCTCTAATATCATATTAAGCTTCATGCACTAGCCAACGCAACCAAAAGTCCCAACTGATGGAAAGGGCTAGGCAATCCACATATACACTTCAACAATCCATGTGAGGTGAAGCCAAAGGAGCCATCCAAATGTGATCTCACGAAGGGCGACAAGGCTGTGTACTCATGGCGCCGGCTACAAAGCAATCTGAATGGACTAGTAAGACAAATAGATAAGGGAGAGCAAAGGAAGAGAATGGAAGTCTGGTATAAAGTGTGAAACAGAAAATAATCGGATATAGGGAGCAGACAGAATGCATCAGAACACAAGCCAAGTAGGAGCTTCCAGTGGCATGTGCTTTCCTATCAAAAGGCTCACCTCCACCTTGTAAGATCTGTCTTTATTAAAACCTGCTAGCTCTGTAACATGTGCCCTATCTCCGATTTCTTTATCACATGGCTCCTCATACATGCTCATACCACCCTGGGTAGACATCTATTGTCAATATTCTATGGTAACCTAATTAGAGAAAAGAGTACATTTCCAACCATCCATAATTTTCAAAGGAAAATAACTGATCCCCCCACCCCCCACCCCCCACCCCCATATTTTGTGATTTCATTAGCTAAAAACTTAAAAAGGCACACACACAAAATATGCCTTGAGATAGTGTGATGAGCAGAGAACCTGGCAAGTACAGTTTACTCTTAGTACAGGACAGCTCAACATTCAAAAAATCAGCAATTATTCCTAGCGTAAGATTTGTGTATGCGGGGAAAAAAGTGGGGGCACGAAGAGTAACTAAACAGCACAGAAAAGATAAACACTGCCAAGTGAAGGGTACCATTTTTGTCCTGCCTTACTTGATTAGCATCCATAAACAGTAGTAACCTGATTGTATCTGCATTTCCCCTGTACGCAGCCCTGAATATGACAATCTGTTAGAGAAGATGCAGTTTTACAATGCACAAAAAAGCCAAATATCAAGATATGGATCAAGGATCCATCCTATTTGTGTCTTAGAGACAGAAGTCGAGTAGATGATAAATTAACTGATTCTTCAGGATGATAAATGAACCTAGTTACTGGTAACTGATATTGGTAACATCAAATAGTAAGCCTTCTTAACAATATCCCTACCCAGCACCTAACCAGGCAGCTATCAGTTACCAATATCCGGAACATTGAATATCTATTACCTACTAATAAAGCACGGAGTGCTTCTGTCCATTCACCGTCGTGCCATTTTACAAAAAACCCTCTCTGTTCTCTGTAAATTAACCCGCAACACATGTTTAAGTCACAGCCGAACCGTCTTTTTGCATTTTCTCAGAAAACCCCCTGACGTCCAGGCAACAACCCACCGTCCATATTTAAGTCGGACGAATCGTTTTTTTTTTTTTGTTTTAACAGAAAACCACTGACACTTCGGTTAATTAATCCGCAGCTTATCTTAAAACAAAATTATCCATATCTTTTAAACCGTAACTCCAATTTTAACATGTTATATATGAAATCTGATTAGAAAAATGTGTAGAATATAAATATGATATTATTTTTAGCTGTTAAATGATTCTAAAATATTATTTTTGGCGCAAACTTAATCTATAGTGCACGGTCCGTTTTTCTTTCGTACCGGCGGCGATCCGAGAGAGAGAGAGAGAGACGGCTTAGGACTGACCACATCCAAACGCGTTTTCATTGTGTGAGCACTGAGGCCACCGCCGGCAACACAAATGTGATGCCATGTGAAAATAAAGGGCGTGGACCTATTAGGGTCTTGAGTCATGGTTATTGGGTAGAGCGTGTGTTATTTTCTCTCCCGTTGCAACGCACGGATTGCTCAGACCTCAATGCAACAAACCATTTTGCAGTAGCATTGTATCAGGTATTCATGGTGGCTATGTTACTTGGTATAAGGTAGGCAACAAATCTTGAAGTATCAAACAAATCATACAATATACACTTATGTTGCTGGTGGCAATGTTATGTGAAGCCAGGCAAACATGCATTTAAAAGGTAAGAAGTATTCTTCATATTCATGTACCAGTGCAAAGAGCTCCTCCCGTCATTGTCCAAAGCTTCAAAGTCCGCACCATACTTTAAGATGATGTGATGCAAGAATGTTGTTTGGCCATACTGAGCTGCAACATGGACTGCCTAACATAATGTTCCAAAGGAAGAATTGTAAAACACAAGATCTACTCACGCTACAAAAATTCAGACCTACAGTGCATGGACTTAGGATGACTAGCGCCAAACTTATGAAAAAAAATTGATTTCCCAAGAAGCTGATGTGAAACTAAGCCGAAAGCTGCATGCTGCTAACAAAAGTACCCTATCAAGCCTCGGAAATTTTCCCAAGAAGTTTTTACTCTTTTTATAAGTACGCTGGTCGATTATCCAGTAGCAAAATTCTGTTTTCATAGCAAATTCCCATAGTAACTCTACGAGCAATAATGTTAGCTCAGGTCAACGAGTAACATATTTATCCAAATTACAGTGACATAATGAATTCACTAATGGCTGATCCCATCATATAACCAATGTAATATAATTACTTGCTAAACAGAGATAAGCTAACGATATATGTTATTATCTGCTTAAAAGTTCAAACACTACGAATTATACAGCTGAACTGTCTGATCAAACAATAACCAGCATGCGTTCTGCAACTTTCTATGGGCAAACACATCTTTCAAAAACCAACCTACAGCTTTTTGCACAGAGCTATCGGTTTTAAGCTCCTGACCAATCAGGCACTAAATCATACTCTATTTAGTGTCTGAATTACGAATGATCGGAAGGGAGCCGCGCATTTCTCAAAAACAAAATATCAGACACTAAATCCAACAACACTGCAAAATATCGAAAAAAGAGAATACAAATTCAGAACAAAAAAAAACGATTGCATACCCGGTAGCCGTTCACATCGGCTGCCTCTAGCCTCGCGCCGTTCTCCAGCAGCACATCGGCCGTGGCCGTGGCCCCGCGCACCGCCGCCCAGTGCAGCGCTGTCTGCTGCGAATTGTCTTCTGCGTTCACGCCCCCTCCATGCTGCAAAAGAACAATCAACCACACGCGCACCCACGAATCCATCAGCAAGGAAGGTGGTCCAAAGCAGCGCCCGATTCGAGGCCGGCGAGTAGTATAAGTCGAACCTCGATGATGTAGAGCGCCACGTGGGGGTAGTTATTGAGCGCGGCCCACTGGAGAGCGTGATAGCCGTTGCCGTCGGGCGCGGCGAGCGACGAGCCGCCGCCGTCAAGCTCCACGAACCGCCGCAGTCGCTCCAGATCCCCGTACGCCGCAGCCGAGTAGACGTTCACCACGGGGTCCGGCTGCTTCTCCCCCTCCGCCGCCTTCCTGGCGCCGCCGTCGGTCACCACAACCTCGATCTCCGCGACGCGGGATGACGACGACATGGCGCGGGCGGAGGAGCTGAGGGGAAAGCCGGCTCACGACCTCAAGTCTTAGAGCATCTCCACTCGTTTGCCCCCAGCGCACCCGGCGAATGCAATGCGTTTTTGCATTTGCCCCACACGTCAAAAAAAAACGTGTCTTTTTCACTGTCAAAAAAAGCCACAAGTTCGGCGATCACATCATAAGTCGGCAATCATCATGCCACAGTTCAGCGATCAAACATGCCCAAAAGTTTCATGATCAAAAGGAAGGAAGCAAGACACGGAGCGTATCAATAGACGGGCTCCTCTGACATGGGACTGGTTGTGGTCGGCGTGGACGCAGGCGTCAGCGTCGCTTCTGTGCTCGGCGTCGACGTGCTCGACGTCGGCATGGCTTCTGTGCTCGGGCTGGTGGTCGGTGTCGGCACCGCTTCATCGATCGGGCTGGGCGTCGGCGTTGCTGTCGGCGTGGACGTTGGGGCAGTGGTCGGCGCCGGCCCGGGCATCTGGTTCAAGATGAGGCCGCGCTCCGCCAGGTACCACGCCTTGACCTACTCGTCCATCATTGACATGTCTACCCCCAGCAAGAACGCAAGGTCGGTGTTCCTCTTCTTCGCGGCGACGCTGGTCCTGAGAAGGTCGAGCTTCACGTCTTGCTTCGTCATCAACGCCGACCACCGCGCGTCGGATTTCTCCTCCCTCTTTACGGCGTTGTTCTTGGCGTCGACGATGCACTGCTCGATCGATGATTGTAGTCGCTCGGCCGCCGATGTCGCGTCCCTCGTCGTCTTGGCTCGTTTGTTGCCATCAGGGCTCCCATCCACTGGCCCCGGGGTGGGCGCATCCAGCTTGCACGTCTCCTTGCCCTTGGTGAGGGTGAGCAGGACCTCCCTTCACTTCTCGCATGACTCGATGCGGGAGAACACATGAAGGAACTTGAACTCTTGGTCGTTGTTGTCCTGGCGATACATGTTAAACATCCGAACCATCTACGCAGCCGAAGAACAAGTGCGGCGACATACACGCGAAAGAAAGTGAGCCGGCGGCTGCACATACCTGACCCTCGATGTTAGCGCCGCTTTTCGGGCGAGCCGCGATCTCCTCGACGATCCCATGTCATTTTTTGCAGGCCTCCTAAATGATCGCCAAATGGTTCGACATGGCCTTGTTGCCGCACTCCATGTGGATGGTGGCAAAGTAGGGGTCGACCAGCTTGCGCTCATCGAACGCCGACTTGATGCGTCTCTAGTATGTGTCGACGTTCTGATTCGAGATGGTGATCGGGTCGATGCTGACGGTCTTCCATGCTTCGGCGAGGCACTCGTCTTCCTTGGACGTCCACTTGACGCGCGGCTCGCCCGGCCTGGCATTGATCGCCCACTTCTTCTTTCTCCCTTTCCTCGCCGGCGCAGGCGCCGGCTCCATCTCCTCCTCCTCTTCCTCTTCCTCCTCCCCCTCCTCGGCATCGTCGAGCTCGTCGTCCATGTCAACGGCAGTGTCCATTGTTTCGTCTTACGCTTGGAAGTCGGGGTGGGAGGCGGCGACGACCGAGCCCCTCGTGATGATCTCGTCCATGTCGGCGTTGGTCGCGTCGGGGTTGACGAAATGTGGCGCCGACGCTTGAGCGAAGGGCAGGGCGCCCCGACACGGAGGCGGCGTCGGCGAGGCTGAGTACGCCAACGGCGAGTAGCTGTACTGGGTGTGGAGGCTGGCGAACGCGGGGAGGGGGGGAGTGCGCTGGTCGGGGTTCAGGCCGGGAGGGGAGGCACGTGGCGGCGCGCCTTGCGGGAAGGTAATGTTGGGGTTGAAACCACCATGTGTGTCATCGTCGGAGTAGCCAGGCGAGGGTGCTTACCCCTGAATGTATCCCATGCACCTGCACTTTGTGGTGCTACTGGTGCACCGGATGCCATAGAATATATTTTTAAATCTAAAAAATCTAGCATGTTAATACAACATCAATGTATGATGTCACAAAATTTCGCATAAATATTGAAATATTTAGTAGGATACAAAAATGACAATTTTGACATAAGTGTGATAATGGGCCAAATCTAAAGCCCAAATTATGTTATGTACTATTCGTTGTTGAATTTATCATTTTTTTAGTTATGTTTTGAATTTTGACTTGAATTTTTTGTGATAATCTACATTGATATTATGTGAGTGTGTTAATTTTTTTCAGAATTTTTTGAACATTTTAAAAGCATAATGTGAGTTCGGTGCACCGGTAGCACTACAAGCTCCGGTGCACCAGATATTTTCCTGCATACTCCAGGGCTGCAGCGGCGACGCGGTGCTTTGGCTCCCCCACGTAGCCTACAGGCAGTGGCTGGGCTGATTCATCATCCCTGCATGAGACGCCTCTACCTGCTCCGCCTCCTCGTCGCCGCTGACGCTGCCGTATCCCCGGCCTTCTTGACGTTCAGCCTGTTCCGCCGGTCGGTGGTGATAGCCTCCCGACACTGACTGTCTGCCCACCACTCGGCGTTGGACATGCCTGGTGGTTTTGCCATCGGCGCCCTCGGCTTCCTCTGCTTCGGCTGGGTGGAATTGACAGCGCCAGCAAGGCGAGGGTCCGAATACTTCTTCGGTGGCATGACGGTCGGATGGCGGGGCGCCGCAGGAGAATGGCGGGAGCGGCCGGGCAGCAGGGGGGCGCAATGAGGAAATGGAGGGAAAGGGGGAAACAGCGGAAAAAGGCATGTCTGTCCCTAACAAAGCGGGCCCACGCGCCTTTTTGCTTTGGTCGGCTCCCTCAGGCGCCCTTGGGGGGGCTGGGTTCGCGGGCTATTATTTCGGCCGAAACCGGCGATAAACAAGGACCTGGGGCGCAACTACGCCGAATTTTCGCCGTCGGCGCTAACAAAGGCGTCCTAAGGGCCTGTTGGGGTGCGAGTGGAGATGATCTTAGTCTTACCAACACATCAATGCGAGAGTCCACAGTGAAACAATTTTTTTAGTAAATTGCACAAAACCACCATTTTAAAGGCTAGGTTTGCAAAAAACACTACGTTACATTTTTGTTGCAGAAAATACTGTGTCTACTGTAATGTTTTTGCAGATAACACTGATCTGCGAATTTGCCTCCGTTGAGTGTGTTTATGACAGATGGGGCCCGTTAGTCAGGCTGGCATGGCACAAATTTCTCACACTGTTAAATTGAATCGTTTTGCTGGACATGGGGCCCGCTTGTTAGTGTAACATGCTCTATTGAGTATTTCATCGAGCAGCTTGCGTGCAACACACAAGTTGTTCTCATTGCACCCACCGCACTGGACCGTCTCCTTCCCCTCGCCGTTGACGCGCGCCTTGCGGCTGTCGTTGCAGTCCCTGCACATGACAAACCCCATGCCGCCGCAGCCCGTGAGTCCGCGACTGCCCCTGGAGCAGGGCCTTGAGCTTTCCCTCCTTCTCCATCATCGTCACCTCGGCCGCGTCGCCGATGTGCTTGCCCCAGACAGCTGCAGCTCCTCCCAATAGTGGATTCGTCCCGCTCGATGACCTTCACGGCGGCTAGGGCACGTCAGGCGTAGCCATTGTCATGCGTGCACGCCATCGATGGAGCCGAGTAGGGGCTTCACTGCTCTATGATGGAGTTGGCCTATGCCTCGGCCGGGAGCTGGGCGGGCTGTGGTGTCTGGTGTGTGCGAGTAGCAGCAACAGGGGCGTAGGTGTGTGCGAGCAACAGCAAGGGCGCATGTGCACTAGCAGAAGCAATAGGGGCACGGGTGCATGCGAGCAGCAACAGGTTCAGCTCCTGGTGGCGCTGCATGTGCAGGCGCTGGAGCTTGCAGTCATGGTTGGCGAGCCCATCTCCTAGCCCACTCCCATGAGCAACCTTGCGCAACCGACCCTCTCTAGCAACGACGTGCATGGAGAGCGTCCGCCGAGTACCAAGGGCAACAACGACCACCCCGGAGTAGCAGCATGACGGAGACGGATCTTGCAAAATCCGGTGTCGGGTGGGATAGGTGAGGTGGGTCTGGCTGGATCCAGCATGCGGCACGACGACAGCGGCGTTGGGAGCGCCGGAGAAGCGGTGGCGGTGCTGGGATGTTGGGAGATTTTATTATGCAGTAAAGAGGAAGATAACATGAGCACGAACCATATTTTTCTTCCAATGACAGGTGGACCCCATACAGCCACACATGCTGGCAATGTTAACCAACCTCGCCATTACATGTGGGATGTTAAATGGTGACACGTCACCCTGACTAGCGGGCCTCATCTGTCATAAACACACTCAACGAAGGCAAATCCGTCTATCAGTGTTATTTGCAAAAAGATTACGTTAGACACGGTGTTTTTTGCAACAAAAATGTAACATAGTGTTTTCTGCAAATCTAGCCTTCAAAGTGATGGTTTTGTGCAATTTATTTTTTTCAAAAAAAGATTCACAAGCTCATGAGAGCATCTTTTCCCTAAAATAGAGCACTCAAAAAATTATTTAGGGCATCAAAAGTGATTTTTAGGCACATAAAAAATTCAGTATATCTAACCGGCGAACATTCGCTAAGAGGGAGCTCCCAGCGAACGATCTTAAAGTCGTTTGATCGTGATCAAATGCATGGCATTTATTAGAAAAATTACACCGTAAACATGGCAATTTTCACTTCCGCAAATCTCACAAAAATGCGTGGTAATTTAGTTATTTGGGCATGGCAACTCCGACATTCGCTGGCAATTCCTCTCGAGCGAACTTCACCGTATAAATGGGTCATTTTCTTCTCCAACAACTGTGCCAAAATAGGCACCGCTGCTCCAACAACAATGCTAAAATAGGGCACCCAAACACCCAAATTAAACTAGATTGTTGCAAATTCGTTCCAAACATCCAAACATTTGAACCTTTAAACAAGAAAACTTAAACATAATTTGAGTACTAGCATCCAAACTTAAGATAGTTCGACTACAAACATGCAAACTTAAACTACTAACAACTACTCGTCAATGAGATTGTCCTAGTGTAGCACCCCGACTCAGGGAGACCGGAACGCCCCGTATTCCAGCCCAGAGAT